ACTGAAACAAAAAGCAGTACCTTGGAAAGCAGAGTATCAGAGTGACTAACAGCAAAGGCTGTGAAATCACACTGATCTGGGTTCCAACCTGTCTTTTTAGAGCATCCAGTTACTCATCTAGTAAGCAGGATTAATACCACCTAATTTACTTAATGTTGTCAGTTTTCAATAAAATGACAATGTGTGTGAAGTAAACCATTCAAACAACAAAGACTACATCTAGTGCTTCAAATCTACTAAATCTATTAATGTACTACTTGCAATGTTGCACCTTAGTACAAGTTCTACACCAAGCATGTCAAACTCGAAGGCTAACACGGGCCAAAAAACAAGGTTTAAGTTTATGTGGGCCGCAAAAAACAAAAGCTTCAAATTTCATAGAAACATAGGTTTAATAGTTTTAGTTCAATAGAGACATGCTGAATACAAAGGCCTGAAATAAATAATTGTTATGATAAAATAATAGAACATTTTGCCCTAACTGGTTTGGCTCAATCTTTTTCTCCAAAAGCAAATTATTTCCTGTTGCATACACTGAACAAGTCAGTACAAGACTAATGACATGGCAATTGGCTACTAAAATATTCGCTGCTAGAATTAGTGGAGAGAAATGGTGCGCCTGCATGTAAGATGTGTAAGGGAAATGAATTCAACATGATTATAGTAATCAGTCATTAACGAACGTTGTAATTCGTTATTAATAATTACGTATAAAAGGATATTGTAAAAATTAAGTTACAAAAGTTTTATTAAAACGTTTCTTACATACCGTTATATTGGCTGGGTCACAAAGATATTTGTTATGGGGCGCATGCAGCCCGTGAGCCGTGAGTTTGACATGCTTGTTCTACATCATTCCTTTCCACATTCAGGAAAGTACTTACTGAGCACTAATTACGAGTCAGACAACAATTTCTCCTCTATGAAGTTCTTGAACTGCTGCCTTTTCTGGACTCTTTCAACCATTCTGGTCCCTACCATTCATTTTTGCACTTACACACAATTCTGAATCAATCCTTCATGTTTTTCTCTCCCATAAAACTAATCATCATAAGGAATAGAAAATGGTGTCATTTCTTTGGTATTACCACAATGAATAAGAAAAGTAAATAAGAAGAGGTTCCTTAGCTTTGGTTTTGCTCAAGAGCTCAGCTCCCTAATCATCACATCTATTTTATAACGTATAACTTGGTACAGTACTGGTTTTCAAACCATTTCTTAACAGCGAATCCTTTAAACAAATATAATCAATACATAAAATTGCAAAAGCAGATCAGCTCTGGGAGAAATGAAAGTGAGGTGTGAAGTACCAACCTGATGTCTACCCCCAACTGTCATCCTCTGGGACACCTAAAAGGAATCCCTAATCCCTCTGGAACTAGTTTGAAAACCTATGGAGCCTGGCCTCTGTGGCTCAGTGGTTGAGCGTCACAGTTCGATTCCCAGTCAGGGCACATGCTGGGGTTGCGGACTTGATCCCCAGTAGGGGGCGTGTAGGAGGCAGGTGATTAATGATTCTTCCTCATCATTGATGTTTCTATCTCTCTCTCCCTTCTTCTCTGAAATCAATAAAAATAATTTTTTTAAAAAAGGACTTCTATTCTAAGTAAGAGCCATCTCACTAACTTGGTGTGCTCATTAAAAAAAAAAAAGTAGAGCACTGTCAGGAGACCCCAAAACTCTGACACTAACAAGGCTACCTAATTAATGTGACCCCTTCCCTCCCTCTGATCTCCAAAAGGCCCTCTGGTTATTACTCTCTAGACGGGGAAGTCCCAGGAAATATCTTGAATTCAGAGGAAGAATTTTTTAAAACCAGAGTTGCAATGCTTATACCGCGAGTGCACAACTTGCTAGAGCCACATTATTTTTCCTTTTTCTTTTAACAAGCGTCTAGCTTCTGACAGCAAAGCTAAAATAACGCCTGAAGCAATTAGAAGAGAATTTGGGACAAAGAGGACTTCTAAGTGGCTTGTTAAAATTCTGTAAAGAGCAGTCTTTAAAAGATGCTTCCTTACATTCATCATCAGTCAAAAATGATTGTACAAAAATTCTATCAACACTAGGACTCGTCTTATTGTTATTAAAATAAATACAGACAAAAGCATGGGCTTAGTGTAGGCACTGAATCAGCAGTGAATTAGAATTTTTCACCATTCAGCACCAACAGAAAGGAGTCAGTTAGGTCTGAGATAAGTGAAAATAGAAGTTGCCATAGTAACTCACACATTTACCCTAAAAAGGCCGGACTGGGGATGGGGGGCTGGAAAGTAGGTCAATATTTCTGCCTAACTAGCTCTAGTTCTTGGCTTCCCCTCCTCATCTAAAGCAGCATCCTTCTCCTTGCCCACCCCTATAGGAGCAAGAAGGGGGAAATCAGGTGATAGTCACTCCTTCAAAAAAGCAAGGGGTGAGGAAAGGTCTAGCAGAGGGAAGGTGAACTAAGAGGACAGCCCACTAAAAACCTCATGAGAGCCATGGGACTACCCCTGGGAAAGCAGTTGCTGATCAAGGGCACCAATGCTAAGAAACTGTTGCTGGGTTACCACAAATCAGAAATTGCCATTTTCCCTGTAGCAGTTTAAGTGCACCTAATGGAACACTTGGGAATGCATTATTAACAGCTTTGGGTTGGGTTAGTGCTGGGGAGGGATGAGTACCCTGGCACGGATGAAACCTGAGATCCTTAGCAACAGGCATTTTTTGATGGTTAAAACTACGAATAGGGCTCAAAAATGGCCTAAAAGACAGAAAGGCAGGGAGGGAAGCTTAGAAGGTTCCTTTTCAAAGTCAGCTGATTTTGCTAACATAGAAACATAGTGCCCTTTGATACTCTGATCTGAAATAGCTACTATTCCAAGAAGGCGAGGGCAACCCTGGTCTCTAAGATGATGTGAAGAGTGCCAGAGCTCATTATTAGCTCTTCCACCCGCAGTGCCAACAAATGTGGGAAGCAAGTTAAACAGAAAGCATTTGGGAGCAGGTGCAGTTCCACTTCCCTGCAGCTGTTAGTGTCTGCATAGGAATAACCCAAGGCATTAGTAATGATTTTTAACAACTTGGTGTTAAAGCCCTGGTATGCTAGAAGATGAAAGATAAAGGAGGGAGGTCCAAAAAGCGGAAACATCTTTGTAACCAGTGAATATTTCAAACTCTAATCTCTACATATCCTGTTGTAGTCATTGTACAGAGGCGGGTCTAGGCTTCCATGGCTCAGGCCATTCAAACTTGACTGGAAAACTTTTCAACCCAGCAGACTATTAGGAAGGACAAGCTCAGTTTCAAATTCGAGCTCATGTATTCAGAAACAGCTGCAAATTGTCTGCTTGTACTTCTGCATGACTCTACTCCTCTGCCCTATTAGAGGAGGGAAAGA